GAAAAGGGCCCACCATTTAATGCATCTATGACACCCGAGGCGGAAAAAACACAGTGTCTAAACAAACCTATGTGGACCTTTTTAACTTCCGTGAAAACTAAACCTATTTCTACATTTTTGAATATCGTGAAAGACAATATTATCTGTCTATATTTTTGAGATGAGGTATTATGTGGATTATTTACATTATCATCCTCATCGCCATATTTATTACAACGTTTCGGCAGTTGTACGCTCCGGCCTTCGAACTGAACCCTTTATTTCGCTCACTGGGGTAGACTGTACTAGTTCCACGTGTCATGTTTAATGGATGTCAGTTATCAGTTATCTCCTGCTAATTTTCTGCCTTAACCGGGTATTGAACTCACACTCTTTGGGTCCTGTCACTGGATCTAACCAACGCATTTATCAACTGTGCCATGTGTCCTTTAGGACATATGTGTATGAATTTCTGACTATTATAAACCTAAAGTCTTCAGCAACCATTTTTACCAGTGCTCATGTTGCAATTTTGCTGTTATCATACATGTTTTTAGCAGAGCTCATATTGCAACTTTGTTGTTATTATCGCTTTTCTCTGGCACTCCTTATTACTGGTTCCCATATTGTATTTATTTCTATGTTTGGTCAGCTCAGGAGATTTTTGTGGCCTAGGATATGTGCTGATTTCTTAAGTGTACGAATTTTCCAATGGTGTTCCTTGTCTATGATCTACCCCAGTGAGCGAAATAAAGGGTTTAGTTCGACATTCCAACCACCTGAAGAAAACCGGAGCGTACAACGGCCGAAACGTTGTAATAAATCTGGCGACAAAGATGAGGATAATAGTCAGAATAATGTAGACAATATTTTGTCTCTCGCTCAAACCAAATCTATGTTTCGTCTTTCGATTCTCAGTTAAACCAAATCCATGTCTACCTTTTTGAATATCGCCAAAACCAAAACCTATTTGTCTCTGTAGTCGATTTTGCCGTGCTTAAATTAAAATTCCCGTTCAGATTACTTCCACGACGAAGAAAACAAAACGCAAGTTCAAATACAAATATCAGGAGCAGAAAGTCATGTCGAATTCATGACTCGCATGTACTGTCAGAAAATCACAACGCACGTAAGTCAGAAAAATGGCACACTCGCCGACGAACGCGAAATTTATCCCTGATTCGAGAACACCAACTGCTTCT